CCATCCCCGCCGCCGCCACCACCACCATCCCCGCCGCCGCCACCACCACCATCATCGCTACAACCGTAGCCGCCGCCACCACTGCCACCGCCACTACCACCACTACCACCCCAGCACCACCACTGCCACCACCACCGCCACCACCATCGCCGCTGCCGCCGCCACCAGAACCACCACCCAGCAGCACCACTGCCACCACCACCGCCACAACCATCGTCGCCCCCACCACCATTGCCACAACCGTCACCGTCAACCGTCACCGTCACCGTCACCACCACCACCGTCGCCCCCACCACTGCCACCGCCACCACCCCAGCACCACCACCACCACCACCATCGCCACCATCACATATTTTTATAAGGGTATTTATGTCTTTTAAAACATATTTCATTTCTATTCCTTAAATCAACCAAACACTGTAATATAATTCCTAAAGTCTATTCCTTCTGCGAACCAAACAATAGAATACAATTCCTATTCTATTCCTTGCCTATTTCACTCCTTATGGAATAACATTCCTATTACCTCAAAATTCATTCCGTGAACCAAATGTGCTGTAAGGGTATTTAGCCAAGCATGGATAAACTAGAATTCATTGCAATAATATAAAGAGATTACAAGCAATCAAAAAGAGTAAAAGAATAGACCAAGTGATTCTCCCAAATCTCCCTAGCTTTTCTTCTTTCCTCCCAAGGCAATTGTAGCTCTTGATTCTCCTCTTTCTTATCTCCAAAACGCAGCTTCTAGCTCTTATAGGGTTGAGGAAAGCGAGTTTTTATAGTGGGAATCGAGCTAGGATTAAATAGGAAATTTCCGCGCAAAACATTCCAAAATTTGCCCAGAATTCTCGACGCGTCGATTTTTCAGCATAATCTTCGTGCAATATTCTGGAATTTTTTGACGCGTCGAGTTTTCTGATGCATCATATGTTGTATCCCTTCGAGTATTCTTTCCAATTGCGCAAGAATCACCTGAATCAGACATTCCTACCATCAGATATGATCAAAATACTAAGCTGTCGCCAAATTCAGCGGGAAATACAACTTTTTGGTTTTTTGCTCCACTTTTCCATTGTTTTGTTCTTGTGATAAAATCCATTGAAAGTACTACTCTTTGACTATTTTTGAAGCTTTTTAGCCACCTCCTTAGCTTCACCTTGACTCCCATTGACTTTGTTTTGGTTCCAAACTTGTCTTTGAACATCGTAAAACATTCAAAACAAGTGTAAAACCATATCTAAATGACAAAACAAGGGAATATGTAATTAAAGTATCAAATTAATGAACTTAAACCCAACAAATATGCTCAAACTAACACTAGAAACATGTACATTTAAACTCACATCAACACTTCACATACATGAGTTAAAGACAAATTCCACTCCCAACAAAGATCCAACACACAGTCAATCCACCTCAATCAATACATCCACAATCACAAGAAATAATCTAATTCACAAGTAGATTCTAGCCAAACATTGTCTATATTGTATTGCAATATCAATTGAAGAAAGCAATGGAGATGGATAATGAAATTAAAGAGATAAAATGCAGGAAAATATATAATTCAATTTCAATTAACAATCAGTCCACAAGATACATCCAATCAAGCAAGAAGAGCGCTACTATGTTGAAGAAGATTTGTCAATTCCTCTATTGTATCCTTGAAGATCTTCCTTCTCAAATGGAGAGAATTGAGAGCTTGGTCTATAGAGAGAAAGTAGATCTAAACTAATGCCTAATTGTGTCTAAAAATCTGACCTAGACTCCCCTAAATACTAGCCCAAATTAGCCTTAAAATAATCTGCGTCCCGCCCAGGTCTCCAGTCATGATCGTGGTCGGGGATCATGAGCAGAACTTCTCCAGCCACTATCGTGGCAGCCTCGTGGCGAAACTTCAGAGAGCTCCCACGACCGCTGTCACGTCGTGGCCAAGAAAGTCTGCCGAGATGTCTGAATCAGTCTTTGCGGTCTACATGAAAGTTGTAGCCCTCTGAGTTTCCGTTCCAATGCTACTTGAATCACTTCATTTTGACATCCCTTGCTCTATATATGCTCCAAATTTTGAACTATCGCCGAAATGCTCTAAAAATGACAATGTTTTGCTATATTCCACACATGAAACCACAATTAGTCATTCTTCTTATCTTTAATCATAATAATTTATTCTAAGCATGTAATAGACTCAAAGGACTCAAACTATAGCACAATATGTCTCCCAAGTACCCCAGGTTTCCGGCGATGGCCGTCACCACGACCGTGATGCGGGGCCTGCTTGTTCATTCTTCTGTGCTCTTCTAGTGATGTTTTGTTTTAACCTCCTTTGCCACTCTTTTTTCCCAAAATTCATCAAAAACACTAGAATGTACAAGTTAGAAGGCTTTGCAATGCATAATCAACATTTCATAGTTTATTTCTCATAAATCAAGCACGTGTGATCCAAATTAAGCACAAAATGTCCCCAAATTGACCCTAAAAAGTAGCATCTTTTGGCACTTATCAAAAGGGTACCAATTACCCAGCACCAAGAAAAAAAAAAGGAATAAGATAAGTTACTAGGATGTCATGCATCTTGATGACATGTGGTGGGAACAACGTTCAAAATTATCACTTGAGTGTTAACCTATACTAGGATAGGCCAAAAGGATATCGGTTGCCCAACACTCGAGTAAAATAAAGGAGACAGAGAAATTCACACATAGTATCTCGATGATGGAAGGAAAAAAGTAGGGGTAGGAGTCAAAAGCTAAGACTAGGGGTAAGGCAATATGCATGTGCCAAGGATGTAGGTGGCAAACTCTTAGTCTTGGGAATTAGATAATTCGTGGTTGTACTAGTAAGCTTCCTTTTCCTCCAATTAAGGAAAACCAAGGGGTGAGCAAACATGAGGCGGAATTGATAGGACAAACTTAGACTGTTGAAAATGAGGTAAGTAATGCCAAGGGTTGGTCTTAGTGCATGCAACACATAGTGTTCCACTCTAGGATCCACGTACAACAAAAACTTTGTGAACCTGGCCCGACCATTGGCAAGGCCATCAAAGCCACGAGAAAGAGATGATCATACGAGTAGATATGCTTGCTATTTAATGTTTCTTCTAGTTGTCCAAACAACTAGAAACGTGGGAAACTCATGATAGGGGAATAAGGGTTGAGCCTTAGGTTAATTAGGTCAAGAAGTAAACATTTGTGAGTTAATTGGATCTAGAGAATAATTAGGACCCATTAGCATAGTTTTTGGGACCTATATAAGATGTAACAAAAAGTTGGGGTTGTGAACAAGCTAAAGAATAGAGTGAAGGAGGTTGAGGGGCAAATTCTCGAAGGATGGGGTCCAAAGTGCGACAAGGTGGAAAATTGAGGGGTTAGGAGGCAATATTCAGGGGATGGGGTATGGAGTGAAACATGGGCTGGAGTTGAAGGAATTGGGATGAAAATATCTACCGTCAAGGTAGGATTGCATTTGAATCGAGGTGGTAAAGGTGCAAAAAGGAGAGAGTGGTGCATTGGAGCCACAGTACGACCCGCCATGTGTCCTGTGAAATATGATTATATACATAGCTGGGGAAGTTGATGAGGTGATAGAAAAGCAAGGTAGAAGAAGTGTTGATGAGGTGAGAGAGAACCAAGATGAAGGAAGGGCGTGTTGGTGCCCAACGATAACACTAGCATCCACGACATGACATGACTGGGAGGAGCTGATAGCACCATGGGTGTGGCTAGGCAACCACTAGGGGGGTTACTTGGCCATATAAGCCAAAAGCGGAGAAGGGATAGTAGTGACGAGTTTGAGAGGTGATCTTGATACTTTGTCTGGTGGAAAAGTTACGAGGCTTAAGGTCTACTCATTGCAGACCTAACATGTGGCCTCTGACACTATAAATAGGGTCCCTTTGAGGCTTTCAAAAATCATAATCATCTAGACTGGGGGGTTCTTCTCTTCTTCCCCCCGGGTTCTCTTCCTCAAGACAAGTCTGTCTTTTATTCAATCCTTATAATAACCTAACCGTTGAGCTTATGCTTGTATCTTGGGCTTGTTCTTTTGGCCTATTTAATTAATTAATTATTTTATTACGAATCGAAAGGACACTCGCGACCCAGCATCCTATTATTTAATTCTTGTACTTACTACCTAAAATACCCTTGGTTTACCCTTTTATGGTGGGTAGTCTAGTCCACTAGAAACAATCAGTTTGTATAAGGACACTTTAGACATTTTGAAGTAAATTTAATTGGTTTAAAGTGTCAATTGATTAAAAAAAATGAAATTAATAGTAAAAAATAAGATTTAATGTCATATGGGGTCCTCCGAGTATATATAGTGATTTTGCCATGTTATGTCTTAAACTTTTAAATTGATCACTCGTGGTCTTTCGACTTTCTAATTGTTACTACCCATGGTCTAAGTTAAAAGGTCCTTCAATTTTCAAAATTTAACTAGCTGTGATCCTCTTGGAAGGACCATGGGTGATTAACTTAGACTACAGTCTACAGATGGTAACAATTTGAAAGTCAAAGGACCAAGAGTTGTCAATTTAAAAGTTTTGGACGAAATGTAAAAAAATAACAATAATCGGAGGACTCCAAATGGTATTAACTTTCAAAAATAAATAATAAAAGCACTACTGTAATCGATGGACAAAAAGCGAAGGAAAACAACAGGAAGAAAGGTCAGCACAAAAATCAAACGGAGTGTTTGGTAAATTGCTATAAGTTGATAACTGATAACTGTTAGCAGCTTGGATTAGTAGGTTTGACAAACTAATAACATTAGCTAGTTGCAGAAAGATGTTTGGTAAATTAATTGTTAGTTGATAACTAATTACATGTAAAATGATCCTTAAGGGTATAATTTATTTTCTCAAAAAATTTATCGAAAAGCTACTTTGAGTAATTTTTTGAAATTTAGCGTTTTGAAGCAATAAGCTATTACAAAAATGGTAATTAACTAAACACTCATATTTTCTCTTGTTTTAGGTTTATAAATTATAACCCATTTGATTTAGCTACAATACAATACAATGATACAAAAACTAGAAGAATATATACAAGATGGAAATCAATAAAGAAAAGCGCATCAAACTAAAGCATGCAAGAAAAGCTAAACCAAAAGCCCAAAACAACATAGTTCCAAATTAATCCTGCAGCTTTGGGAATCGATCAAATCAAGTCGTCATACCCAGCCTTGCTTGTACCTGCGGAAAAGTTCTTCAGTTTGGGCATTCTTGTATGCGCTGCAAGCGATGAGATAAACCCAAATCAGAACCACCACCGTGATGATCATGATCAGGTTGGCTTTCCTCCATTCCCTTCTCAGGTTTCCCAGCAGACCGGCCTTGCATGAATCGCAGCTGTAGCAGAGTTGACTGGGGTCGTTGTTCCACACAGAACAGTCGCCGTCTGCGGCGGCGTTGGTCGGGTTTATCCACACCGTCGGGTTCGAATACTGGTAGCCGCATATCGTCGGAGGCTTGCAGCAACCGGACTGCATGCATGGCAGTACCAGAAATTAATTAAAGACACAATCTTATTATTCTTACTTACATACTCTGTCTAAGTCTGTTATTTTTTTGCCAGGCCAGAAAATGATTTTGCCCAGACCAAAACACGTGTTTCTAGCTGGACATGACATGACAAACGACAAAGAATCACCTCTAGAAAAGGCCCTAGGTCATAAAAGTTAAGAATATTTATTAATAATCTACAAAGGATATGGTTCCAAAACCGCGTTAGCCGTGTCAATTAAAAAAAAAAAATTGCTTACTTTTAACCGCGTTTGTCTTCAGATTTAGCAGTTTCCTTTCCAAATTCTATATTCACAATTTCCTTCCCAAATTCTATGTTCACAATTATAAAAGTTTATGTTCATAATTACTGAACTCCATGTTTATAATTATAGTATTTTTTATGTTTATAATTTTTGAACTCCATATTCACAGTTATTGAGCTCTATATTCACAAATACAAAATTCTATGTTCATAATTATAGGATTATGTGTTCATAATTTTTGAACTCTATAATCACAATTCTTGAATTCTATATTCACAACTGCAGAACAGTATATTCACAATTTTTTTTTTTTATGTCCGATCCCTAAATTCTTTTGACAAAATTTTTTTTTTTAAAAAGAAAATAAATAAATAAATAAATAAATAAATAAATAAATAAATATATATATATATATATATATATATATATATATATATATATATATATATATATATATATATATATATATATATATATAATTGATGGAGGGAAAACGGTGCCACTAACGGCACCGTTACTCCCAAATTGTAGAATGGCGTCGTATTGGACCTGTACGGGTCCATGGCATAACAATTTGAATTATGATTATTTAGTCTAACTCTGATACCAAATTAAAGCATATATATGCTCCATCTAAACTAAAAGTCTAAGCTGATAGTTAGATTGCACATTAATGGTTAAATGCTCACAGGCTTTATTTTCTAGTCTCACCAGGTTTTATTAGGGCGATTGACGTCAAAAGCATTATAAATACATAGACACAATTTCACCATCTACATAGTACCTTTTAATTTCCCATGCTTGCCCCCACCTCTTAGTAAAAAAAATAAAAAAAATATGAGACACTAAATTTCAATCGTTTATTATTTCAAAAAAAATAAAAATTCATTGTTTATTTCTTTCTTTTTAATAATTTTTTTTTTTAAAAAAAATGTATAATATCATATGTAACCATATTATCAAAAAATAGATACTCCCTCCATTCTATTTTACCTGTCTTACTTTTTTCTTTTTTAGTTTGTCCTAAAATAATGTCCTATTTCTAAAATTGAACATAATTATCATTATACATTTTTCAATTTATCATTTTGACTTTTTTAAATTTTTACACAATTAATGAGAAAAATACAGTTGTATTTTGTATAATAAATACTTATTTTTGAAGAGTAAAATTGAAAAGCTAGTAATAATTATTTTGTTGCAATAAAAAATGTGTAAAAAGTAAATGTGACTCACAATTAGGGACGGGGGAGTATGTGATGGTGTAAAAGTAACAAAAGTAATGTTTAACATTTTAACCTAACTCTGTGCAACACATTATTGTGTATCCTGCAATCAATTATTGAGCACTCAAGTCAACCTCACTAATGCACCGCGTTTGCACATTCTTGAAGTCACCAAAAAGCTACATTTCCCAATTCTTTCCGAAACCAAACAAGGTGTTATCTGAGTAAATTGGTTGCAAGGAGCGAAATTGATAGTTACCTGAAGAGGAGAGAGATGAGCGGCGAAGAATTGCTCAGCAGTGAAAAACTCGTTATTAAGCTTGGGGCAAATATCGCCGTCAGCCAAACACGCCCTTATCTTCCCCCAACTATCCGAACTCGTGATGTGGTTTCTCAGCCAAGACGAGTACCCTCCCAGCCGGTACTCGTCGTAGCCCCGTCCGGGTACGCTGTACGCGCCGCTGGGGCGAGTGACGACGAAGGCCAGGATCAGGAGAGAGAGCAGGAGGATGATGAGTATAGCCATACAGACGAGGTAGAGGCCGAGGAGGCCCTCCTTCTTCCAGTACGCGCCGGCGAAGCCGGCGAGTGAGACCAGCATGATGGCGATTCCGATGAAGACAACCGGCCACCGGAGCCAGTGGATGCACTCGTTGTCGGGCTTGGAGGCGAGCCAGATTCCGGCGGCGGTGATGGGGATGGAACACATGAAGGCCAGGAAATTGAGGAAAGCTGTGATGTTGTTGCTTAACGACATGGTGGCCGGCGGCGGTGTTGCGGTGGTGAGCGGTGGTGAGTTAAGTAGTTCGTAGTGGTTTGGGAAAAGGAAGAAGAACGATGTGGAGACACGCGCAGTACTACTTATAGAAAATGATAGATTACGAGATAAGAAAGGCGATAGTGTCAAATGAAAAATGATAAATATATTCTCTCAAAATAAAAGTCTTTTTTTTTTTTTTTTTTTTTTTTTTTTTTTTTTTTTGTTCTTTTTCAATCAAAGTATATTTTTTTAATGGCCTAAAACGAAATAAATATTATTAGTTCTTGAATACTATTGACTTTACAAGATAGTAGAGTATCTATGCTTTCTCAAATTATTACAGGTCAAAGAGTGAAGAAAGGGGAGCCACAGAGGTGTCATTTGTTGGAAAAAATAGCATAAATTGACATAAAATAGCATTTTAAGTGGTTATTTTGTGGTACAAATATCAGTGGTGTTCACTTTCGATTTGGGTGGGTCAAAGTGAATTCGGGCTCTTCGTAGTGAGACGAAGAGATTGATATATTGTACGCTCAAAACGGAGAATGGGTGAATGAGATATTGATTCTTAAAGTAAATTCATTTGAGTTGGAAAAATGAAGGGAAAAAGTGAAGCTCTTGTCCCACATTGGTTTGGGAAGTGGATTTGCACCACTATTTATACAAGAGCTCTTTTAAGATTTATAGAGTTGTATAGCATAGAGACTCTCACTTGCACAAATCAAATCCCAAAGTGAGCTTGAGCTTGATTTAGGCTTAAACTCGTCTATGCTAGATGAATCTAAGCAAATTTTTACAACACAACGAAATATATTTTCGAGTTAATAACCGATTTGGTCCTTCGACTATTGTAAAACTACCGATTTGGTCCTCGACTATAATTCTTACCAAATTAAGTCATCAACTATTAAAATCTTACTCGATTTAGTCCCCCGTTAAAATTTCATCCATGATCCCTTAAATTTAAGGGCAAAAATGTAATTTAGCATTCTTCTTTTCATCTTCAACGTAACCTGGTCTTCCCTCCCATCGCTGACAAGTGCGACGAGACATGAACGTTGATTTTTCTCGGCGGCGACTTCACCGAACAACAAATTTGATGGGCGCGAGTGATTTTCCTCCGTTCGGTGGTTGTTGTTTGGAGTTCTCAGTTGGTTTCTGTTCCGGTGGCCACCACAACTGGCCTCGAAAAGCTTCCAGCAGGACGAGTTCCCCTGCCTTCCAGTTCATGCTTTTTGCGAGATGGTGGCGCGCTCCTCTTTGCTTTGAATTGTTGAATGAAGGATGTATGATTTTCTGAAATTGGATGGCTTTTCCGGCAAGTTGTGTGTACTTTCTAGCATCCGGGATTCCTCCGGCGAGAGCTTCTTTACTTGTTGCCTTATCACCCAAAATTTTCAGAAAGCATAGAGATGGCATTATCACTGCCTGCACCAAAGCCAAGTCTCATTCAATCATTCTTTAATTTTTTGTTCTTCCCTCCCTCCCCGTGGGGAATGAGACAAGAGATCGAAGAGCTAATAATTCTTTATCAACACACAAAAACTAATGGGAATATATATATATATATATATATATATATATATATATATATATATATATATATATATATATATAATACTTACCATAACTACACTATAGAGAGAACCAACAAGTGCCATTATACTTCCTGCAAGTGAGGGAAGGCGTTCCAGAAATGTATCATAAGACACGAGGAGTTTGATAGAGAAGACAACGAAGAAAAGATGATGATGATGCTAACAGTTACCGAAAAAGGGCACCATAAAAGCAACAAAAAGAGTAGATATGGCGAGTGCAGTCCTTAGCAGAATGAACGAAACACCAAAAGTTGCTAGACAAACTAGGAGGCATAATCAAAACCGGCATTAGATAGGCAAAAGAAACCCATGACTGCAGCGCCACCATACAAGAGAACACACAAACTAAAACTGCGCCACAATCAAAACTGGCATTAGATAGGCAAAACAAATTAAACCGCCGCCGCTAATGACGGATGAAATGATGACGGGGAACAGCTAATATTGTCCTTCCCACAACCCTGGAGCTCGAACTGCATGCGTCTGGATTATGGTTGAAGGGATCATACACTTCAGCTCCGGCGAGCTATACTTCTGCAAAAGAATCCCGTTGTTGGATGTGGGGGCAAAGTTCTTGCCGAACAGAGGCTTCATGGCTTCAATCCGGTGCCCGCATTCACCGGAATATTGATCATTATAGTGTTGGGAGTTAGCTGCTAGACCAGGAATTCGCCGCCGATGGACATAGCTCCGTCGGAGGTACAATTAAGAGGGCTTTCGCAGCCGGAGGAGAAGCTGAACGGGAATGGAAGTTACTCTAAACTATCATCAGCCTATGAAAATGAAGTCAGGTGAGTATGAATAACAATTTAGAGAACCAAAATCTTCATATAAACTATTGTTAATCACTATTGGATTCAGTTGGAGTTGGTGAATGGTGGCTGCTGTTCCATCGTTACACTCCAATGTCCACCATTTTTCCAGCCGCAGCAATGGGAGGGAAGACCGGGATACGACAGAGAAGAAGAGAGGAATGCAAAATTACCTTTTTACCCTTAAATTTAACAGTTCATGGATGGAATTTTAATGGAAAACCTAAATCGAGTAAGATTTTAATAGTTGAGGATTTAATTTGGTAAGGATTATAGTCGAGGACCAAATCGGTAGTTTCGCAATAGTCGGAGGACTAAATCGGTTATTAACTCTATATTTTCCAGCAGAACATTTAAGGAGTAGATTTTTACAACACAACGAAAGAGTGTTTCGCTCAACTCGAACTAAACATCTTCCCTCGGTATCCTTTCGTCCTTTCCAATTACATCAAACCCGAGTCATTTCTCTTCACCCTTTCCTTCCCAAGTTTCTCTGTAAAATAATAATCCTTATTTTTGTAGGATTATTATTTGGGTTTTACCAACGATATATCCAACATCATCTGAGCACAAGGTGCTTGACAAATAAATATTATTAGTTTATTATTGCATACTAGACAAAATAGAACGAATACAATTCGGTGGGACATATATAGTGCTAGATGCGAGAGCCAGCTGTCCTTAGGGCCGGTCCTGGCCATGTCTCGTCAGGGCGACCGCACAGGGGCCCCAATTTTTTTGGGCTCAAAATTAATTTTTTTTTAGATATAATCTATTATTATATATATATATATATATATATATATATATATATATATATATATATTTTGAATTCATAGATTGGTCTTAATTGTATTTTAAAATAAAATTTTAGAAGCAATTGACATTGAAATTTTGGTGAATAATTTTGTATTTAAATATGAACGAAAAATGACACATTTAAATTAATTTTTGAATTGTATTCTCGCTTTGTTAAATTTTTATGCATTATATTTGGACAAAAAATTTTAATTACATTTTTATTTTTGTTATAGAATACAATAACTTGGAGTCCAAATGGATTTGAACTCAATTACCTCAGTTGTAGAGATTTTCTAGATCTTCTAGACTTCTATCTTCATCTTTTAGATGTCTTTTGATATTATGTTTCTTACCTTTATTAATAGAAATCTCTATCACTATAACGAAATTTAAATAATAACAAATTCACTCTCCCTATGTTCTTGTCTCTCTATTATTGTCTTTGCAGTTTACTGTATTATATTTAAATTGCATCTCGGAACAAAAATAATGAAGGTCAAAATTAAACTATTAGACATGGCCTATATTTTTAATGGAACGGCCCTGGCTGTCTTAATTAACGTGTGAGCAATCTGGTTCACTAATCTCAACTCCTAACGTAAACACAAGACACTAAATCAAAATAAGACACGAGACAGATACATGATCCAATAAAAGTATATTATGTCAACCGAAGTATACGATGTCAATATAATGAAAAAAGTGTAAGCACATATTATTATTGAGACACACTTGTATGAGACCATCTAAATAATTCTTATTCGTGAGACCAGTGGCAGAGCTATGCATGTGTTAATTAGTGGGGTCAATTGACCCCACTCAAATTTGATTGTTTATTACTTATATTTTGATAAATCTTAAAATTGACCCCACTAAAAAAATATATATAATGGCTCAACATATAATTTTTTTTTTAAAAAAAAATCATTCTAAAAACATATATATAATTAGGGGGTCAACATATAAAGGAATAAATGTCAAATAGGTCATCGAACTACACACCAAAATACAGTTAGGCCACAGTGTTTTATGATATTGTCAGGGTGCTGCCTCGGCTTTGTTTAGGCGCACCCTTAAACTTTTTGTGCGTACTTATGAACCTTCTTTGGTTTGCCTCTACGAACCTAAGGTCTCGGGAGTGCAAGCCAACGAAATTTGTTTTTCCTTTGGTTTTGACGAATGGATTAGGGTAGAAGCTGTGGGTTTTTCCGGGGGTATTTGGGTGTTATGGAAAGACACTATTACTTTAGAAGTATTATATACTCATCCGCAATTTGTATCCTTTCAGGTGACAGAAAATAGATCTCTGCTATGGCTCATGTCTGCAATTTATGGTAACCCAAATTTGGCATTAAGAAGGCAGTTGCTTGCAGATCTTTCAGGACGATTTTTTGAGCCACAAGGACCTTGGTTAACGGTGGGCGACTTCAACTCCATCACGGACCAAAGTGAAGCTAGCAACTCGAAATCTTTCTCCTCTTCCAGGTGTTCGACGTTTAACAACTGGATCTTTAGGGAAGGGCTAGTTGACCTAGGCTATTCAGGATCAACCTATACTTGGATGAGAGGGGTCAATACCTCGTCCTTCAAAGGAGCCCGGTTAGATTGCGCCTTGAGTAATGTGGATTGGAATCTCCGTTTTTCATTTGCTAATGTCACTCATCTTCCCATGATTGGGTCTGATCACTCGCCTCTCCTTATCTCGACAACTGGAACTTCACAGCAACCATGTTTGTTTAGGTTTAAGTTCAATATGGCTTGGACAACTCACTGCACTTTCCAAGCAATTGTACAGTCTACATGGGATAAAGAATTAGACTTGCAAACCAACGCATCAATGATGGCCCAAGCCTTCTCTGTGTGGAATAAGACAACCTTTGGCAATATATTCCTAAGGAAGCAATGCTTACTGGCAAGGCTAGATGGAGTCCAACGAAG